CGGGCGCTAGACGAGCGCTAGAGGAGCACTAGACGAGCTCTAGACGAGCACTGGACGAGCACTACTGGACGAGCACTACTGGACGAGCGCCAGAAGGCTCTAGGGAGCGGGGATAGAAGAGCACTAGACGGGCGCTGGACAGAGCGCTAAACGAGCACTAGATGGAGCACTAGACGAGCGCTAGACGAGCGCTAGACGAGCACCAGACGAGCACTAGACAAGCACTAGACAAGAGGTTCTAGGGAGGGCACAACCCCGGAAATTTCCGGAAAATTTCCGGGGATAGAAGAGCACGAGACGGGCGCTGGACGGAGCACTAGACGAGCACTAGATGGAGCACTAGACGAGCGCTAAACGAGCGCCAGACGAGCACTAGACAAGCACTAGTGCTTGTCTAGTGCTCGTCTAGTGCTCGTTTAGTGCCCGTCAATTTCCATGCCAGGCCCAAAATGTTCCTTTTGGAGCTCCAAATGGCGAACTCTCTCCGTTTTAGCAAAAAGGTGTAATTTCTATATAAACTCTAGTAAAGAACGGTCATTTCCAGGCCAGCTCCAAAATGTCGCTTTTGGAGCTCCAAATCACAAATTCTTTGCATTTGAGCAAAGAGACTTGCCATTTCCATGGCCGGCTCCAAAATGTCGCTTCTGGAGCTCCAAATCAGAACTTCTCTACATTTGAGCCAAAAATGTGCCCTGAATCCTAAACCTAAAATCCTAAGCCTAAATCCGAAACCTAAACCCTAAACCTAAACTCCTATATCTAAAAACCCTAAGCCTAAATCCTAAACCTAAACCGAACCTAAATCCTGAACCTAAATCCTAGACCTAAATCCGTGGCCTCTCAAAGGCACCCCGCCAGCAGGAACCCTAAAAGACCCGCCAGCAGGAACCCTAAACGGCGCCCCGCCAGCAGGAACCCGGAAAGACATCCCCCCAGCAGGAACCCTAAAAGGAATCCCGCCAGCAGGAACACTAAAAGGCGCCAACCCTAAACCTAAATCCTAAACCTAAAAACCCTAAGCCTAAATCCTAGACTAAATCCTAAACCAGACGGGCACTAGACGAGCACTAGACGGGCACTAGACGAGCGCTAGACGGGCACTAGACGAGCACTAGACGGGCACTAGACAAGCACTAGACGGGCACTAGACGAGCACTAGACGGGCACTAGACGAGCACTAGACGGGCACTAGACGAGCACTAGACGGGCGCTAGACAAGCGCTAGACGGGCACTAGACGAGCACTAGACGGGCACTAGACGAGCACTAGACGGGCACTAGACCAGCACAGACGAGCATTGGACGGGCGCTAGACTAGACCGCACTAGACGAGCACTAGACGCGCACTAGACGAGCACTAGACGGGCACTAGACGAGCACAGACGAGCATTGGACGGGCGCTAGACGAGCGCTAGAGGAGCACTAGACGAGCTCTAGACGAGCACTGGACGAGCACTACTGGACGAGCACTACTGGACGAGCGCCAGAAGGCTCTAGGGAGCGGGGATAGAAGAGCACTAGACGGGCGCTGGACAGAGCACTAGACGAGCACTAGATGGAGCACTAGACGAGCGCTAGACGAGCGCTAGACGAGCACCAGACGAGCACTAGACAAGCACTAAAGGGAGAGCCGCTGGAACTGGCAGTTTTCCCAAAAGCAACCGGCAGTGCTTCTTGGCTCAAACATGAGCGATTCTGAGTCAAGCAGTGGCAGCAGCAGCAATGGCAGCACTGACAGCTCTGATGCCGATAGCAGCAGCAGCTCCGAAGTTGACTTCAGGCAAGGTCTTGCACGAGGGGGGGGGGGCAGGGCAGCACAAGAAACCTTGCAGGCAGTACCTCTCCAACTTGCAGAAGTATCACCTGGAGTGCGGTGGAGAGTTCACACGCCGCCTTGGTGTGCTGGCCAAACATGATGCTTTGTCTCATGTCCAATTTGTTGCCTGTTGCCTTGTCTTAAAACTAAGGCAGCAACTTGCAAGAACTGCCAGAGCTGGCAGTCATGACAGACTGCAGTGGGGCAGAAGCCCCACTGGTTGCACTGGACTTGATGGGCGTGCAGTACAAGCACTTGCACCTAGGATGCGTTTTTTCAGATTTGCTTTTTATCAGTCCTTGAATCCAAGCTTGCTTTCTAAGGTCGAGCTGTGACAACGCAGCTGGGCCACAGAAATGGGTCCATGCCAACTTTGCACCCAAGCAGCCACTTGCTTGCATCACTTGTTGCGCATTGACACGTTTCCTTTCGGCAGGACCCATGAGCGTATTTATCATGTGCACGAGCCCAGTGGTGCACTCAAATAAGCCCCGGGCCCGGGGTGATCAAGATAGGACGAGGTGTTGAATCCACATGGCAACTCCCCAAGATTGCAAACATTCCAAGAACATTCAATTTAAATCAAAATCCAGTTTAAGGTTAAGTGCCGAGATAGCCAATAAACGAGTCAGCCAGATACCATTCATTCCTATATAGCCAGCCGTCAACCACATAGCAGACTATAATAAATAATAGTTAAGATGAATAGTACTACGTCAGCAACCAAATAATCAGTAATGATCATGGCAGTCAATCGACAGATGATAACCCATGGCCTGCCATAAGCCGATAGTGAATAGTTGAATAGTAATAGAGCAGCCTTGAATAGTCGATTGGTTCTAAATTCTAAATATGAATAGTCAATAGTGGATAATAGTAATGCACTCGGGAAGCAAACCTGCAGTGCGAATATAAAACTGTACATCTACTGTACTGAAAGCATTGCGTGTGTGCTATGTGCATCTGTAAATTCATAACATTAAATAATATAATATAATAATATAATATCATATCATTCTGAGCTGGCAAACACAACGATTCCCCAGGTTCTACAAGGATCTTTGCCGCCGAAAGCTCAAACACTTGAAGGGGAAGGCCAGGCGCACTTCTTGACACGAGCTGTGTTTGTGGGTGGGCTGACAGGTGGATCTCTATGTGGCAGGCTTCCCCTGCAAAGCTTTCAGCCGGCTCAGGGCGAAGACCAAGGGCCTCAAAGACCCACAAGCTCGGCAGTTCTTTGGGGTTTGCCGGGCCATCAAGGACACTGCGCCGAAAGCAACATGGCTGGGTGACTCGTTGAAACGTGACAAGTGTGCAGTTGGATGGTTCGCCGTCGCCCCTTGTTCTCTTGTTATGGCCCTGTGTTGTTTGCTAAACTTCAGAATTGATTTGACTCTGAGAGCCCTCATGATAACCAAATTTAGTGAATAGGCGCAAGGAAGTTAGAGCGTAAAATGACCATGCATTGTGCGTCCTTCTGTTTTGGCTGAGGCATGCCTGCTGGAGAACGTGTTGGGGCTGCAGAAATACTTGCCAGCAGTCCAGCGCAACTTGCAGAAGACTGGGCCCTACGAGATTCACATTGTTGAGCTCGATCCGTTTCTGGGCTTAAAAGATTCAATGAAACTCATTAACAAATTAACTGCAAACTGTTCACTGGCTTGGCAATGTTGAAACTGGTGGCTGAGCAGAATTGCAAGGCTGGACTTTGGCGGCCTTACAAGCCGCCGGCGTTTGTTCATTTTCATGGCGCGAAAGCCGCTGGTGCGAAGCAGCCTCGAGTTCAGAACGGCCATCGATGCGGCTTTGGAGCGGATGCGCCACACAAGCCGATATTTGTGGACGCTCGTTTATAAGAAACACAAAGCCCTTATGTGATTCAGCATTGGGGCCCGTGCTGCGTGTTTATCAGAATTGGGGCCCGTGCTGTCAAGGAAGTCGATGCTCCTCCCAGAGGACTGCCCAGCGGTGGTGGCAGACAAGAAGCGCAGGGCAAGGCGGCAGAGGGCAAGGCTGGATGCGCTGCACACGAGCTCCGACAGCGATGCCCCATGGAAGCACAACCACAAGAAGTTGCTTGGCACCCAATTCTAGCAAGAGGGTAAGATGGCATTGAAACGCTATCAATGGGCTTGACCATTTGGCCAGCTGAGGTTTAGGCAGGCGCATCAAATAGATGCAAGGATGACAGAGGGGAGGGCCAAAACACGACTTGGGCATGATGGCTTCAGCTACATCGCGGGGAGTGAACGCACAGTGGCGGTGCCCTGCTTGACTTCAGAACTCCTCATCTCATTCAAGGAATTTAGGGGTTAAAGTTTTGTAGCAATATGGTTTCGCTCAGCGCACCCAGCTCCAAGGCAGTGGACATCATGGACTACAAAACTTCAGACTGGCAAGCGCTCGACACTTCGCAGAGCTTGGACAGGATGCCAGTCATGAGAAGCAATGAGCGACTTGTCAGTACTGAAAGTAGGTCGACGAGTGATGCATGATTGACCGCACACTCAATGTGCCTGAAACTGAGTCCATTCTGCGTGATCACGTCCCAGCCTTACATCACAGTAAGCGATGCATCACACAGCATGTTATTGAGCCCAACCCAATTTCACTTGCCTCAATGTCACGCAAGAGGCCCGGCGGGTCATACCTTTTGGCCCAACGGCGGCGCTTTTTGGTCAGCCCTGCCCTCACCATCTTCAATTGATGCGTTGCTTAAATTACGCAGCCCACGAGGCGAGGAGAAGCTCATGCTGATGGGCTTCCCCATCCACAAGCTCAGTTTGTCCCAGAACAGCCACAATGACACTAGGCTTGCAATTTGCTCAGTCAGGCTGGAGAATCTAAATCCCCAAGAACAGGTCGTGCTAAGCAAGAGGAACCTGCCTGAACCTTGTGTTCGCAACTAGTGTGTTCACGAGCAACACAACCCTCGGTTCACATCTTGAAGTGTTTGACTCGCAAGGCCTAAGGGTTTGGGCTCTTTTGGGTGGATTTGGAGCTTGGCCAGGGGATGCGTACTTCGCATTCATGCACCATAGCCTGAGATCAAATGCGACAGAATGACATGACAATGAGTTAGACCATCAGTTGGCATGCCAGCACGAGTACCGGATCGAGATCCATTGTACGATTGGGCAGATGCTGAACAAACTCCTCTGTGAGACCATGTGCGATTGTTATGATGTTTTCGAACAGAACCACAATGAATGACAAACATTTGTTCTGGGGGGCGGTAGATTAACTGCGAAGGGATGAACCACCGTTGCCCAAGCCCATGGCTTGCCCGCGATGATAGTGGCAGCAGCGGCTCCGGCAGCTCGTCAAGCAGGTCGCGAAGTCGTAGCCGGAGCCGGAGTTCAGCTGGCAGCAGCAGAGCTGACAGCCACGAGGAGAATGTGGGCGGGGGCTTAATGTTCGAGCTTTGATCACTGTAAGCTAATACTCCTGTCCTCAACCAACGGGTTACAATCACGACATACACGTAACTGTTAGGGCTTTGGGCTAGAAACAGGAGAGCAGCAGTGGCCCTGAAAGTGCTCATGTGGACAACACGTTCGCCCTCTCCTGGGTCAACTTGCAAGCTTTGCAATCTGCCACTGGCGAGGGGCACAGTGAGCAACAACAAGTTGCCAACGGACAATCTGCAAAAAGGATCAAGAAGGTGCTTTCAGGGGAAAAGCAAAGTGGCTGCCGCTGCAAGCAGAAGACTCTGCACTGAAGCCTTAGCACACGGTTTGATTGTGCTTGGATGCCGGTCTAGTTTTTCTTTGAGTGCAGTGTTGTTGGCAAAATAAACAATTATTACTTGTTGCACAAGCAGGCTTGTCAAACGACAAGGTGTTGGCGCAAATTTTCCTGGACATATTTGCTGAAGATTTGCGTCGCATTCTGGTCCATCCCGAAGGGAGGCCAAGATGCATTGCTGTGGTCAATGCAGCAGCACCGGGGCAATGCAGGGTCAGATGATTCAGACGATGAACTGGAAACCGCTGGGGCTGGTCATCAAGTTGCTTGGTATTTGGCAGGCAGGGGCATGTCAACCGTGTGTTTAAATTGTTTTGGTGTTTAGCGATTATTATTTAGAAGCATCATGTAAGAACCACCCCAGGAACTCGGGTATGCCGCGACGCTTTTGCAAAGATGCTTGGGGTCGGTCAGCACCGGCTTGGCAGAACGCGGCGGAACTTCCAAGGGATGGACGAACGCTTTGGAAACAAGGCCACTGTGAGGCCGAACCTTCAAGAGCAGTCGTTGGACAGTTTTTTCAGCAACCTGTATTTTTCCATTGCGGAGACTATGCCAACTGGGCCTCTTAGCTGTCAGTGAGTCAGCACGTCGACATAATAATAATATAAACATATTAACTATAAAACATTCATGATAAATATAGTAAATAGCAAGAATAATAAATAATAATAAAAATGCTAACTATAAAGCATTCATAATAAGAATAAATAGTAAGTAATAAATAATAATTCAATGATAATAATAAGAATACTAGATCATAGTAATATCACTGTGGCGCTCATGAAAACCAAGTGAAGGTAAGACACTCAAAAGTTAACACAGTAATGAATAGTCAATGATGAAATCGGGCAGTTCTCACATTAAAGGGGGCCACGTGTTAGCATGGCAAGGGGGAAACCCATGCAGCCATATCATATCACACATTAGAGCGGAGCGAGACCCTATCAAATAGTTTTAAGGATTGTCATTTAGGAGTTGGGAGCGGATGTATTGTTTAGGGAATACTTTTGCAATAATGTCAAGTTGACTATAAAACTACTTGTCACAACTCTGAGTCTGTCTTATCATTCTTCTTTGCATTCTTGAAAGCTTGGCGCAGCCAAGGACGGTGACACGGTCCCAGTATCCAGATGAAGAAGACGCGCGCCGGGCACTGCTGAACCAACTGATCGAGAACGCATTGGAGGGGCCCACTTTGAGACTGCTTCGACACAATCCAGAAGAGCTGCCTCGGAGAGAGCTCCCACCGGGGAAATGGTCCGGCATTTTTGGGCTGTACCTTGCAAGATGCCTGGCCATGGGCGAGCGGCCTGCCTCACGCTCTACGTTCTACCGTGTTGTTGGGCGATGGCGAACATGCTTGCACTTCAGGGAAAGGTCTTCCCACTCAACCTGCTTGACTTGCGATCGCTTGCGTGCCAAGATGAGACACGCGTCAGACTTCACAACTCACGCCACTGCCGCAGATCAACTTTTGGGGCATTTGCGTGTTGCTTGGGCGTGCAAGCAGCAATACTGGCTGGCACGGGCGACGAGCCGCATGAAATCCGAGCTCCTTACACTGATCATCGACGGCTTTGATAAGAGCAAGACGCTGCTGCCACGATGGACTCGGGGTCGGACTCCGAAGGGGACAGTGTTTGAGAAGAACATCCGGACAAATCTCAATCTCTCTGCGGTACACGCGCACGGATGGGGATTTTACGTCTATATCTCAGACGAGCAGATCTCGGCAGGATCCTCATGGTCTTGGGAGATCGTTTTTCGCACGCTGGAGCACGTATTTCACTCAGCCAGACGCTCCAACCTTCGCGTTCCCTCTGGGCTGTGGATACAAAGTGATAACACTGTAAAAGAGATCAAGAACAGCGTCTCTGGATTGCTGTGCAGTTACCTCGCCAGCCTTGGATACTTTGAGGACATTGGCCACTACCACTTGCCGAAAGGACACACGCATGAGGACATAGATGGCATCTTCGGAGTCATCAGCCTCGCCGTCCTCGAATCCCAAGACGATTGCCAGACACCGGGTGATGTGTGCCGTGTCATCGAGTCAAAGCTGCAGCCGATTTTTGCTCGGAGAAACGAAGAGATGCGTGTGATATATGTTCACAAAGTGCGTCGCTGGCGAGAACTTTTGCCCAACGTGGTAATGCTGAAGAAGGCTCCCGTCCTATTTTGCATCTTGAGTTTACACATTGACATTAAACAGACTATTAGTATGAGCGGTGCCTAAGCCTAGTGAATAGCTTGTCGCACAAAGAAAAAACCTGGCAACATTAAGTAATAAGTAATAAGTAAGCCCTTTTTGTGAATAGCCTGGTAATGCATTTCATGAGTTTATTTATCTGTTTGTTGACAGTCGTTTTTCACAGTTGATAAATTTTAGTGGTCTCCTTCAGGATAAACTGTTAAATTGTAAGCGAAAAGGACAAGCCCATGCCATACTAATTGCAAGGCGAATTGAATTTGAAGGCCAAATAATATGCTAAGCACCCTCAGGTCTACAAGGAACGCAATGAGGACGATGGCTTCTATGTGCCACACAGCTTTTTGTTTCTTAAGCGGGCCAACTTGCCGCAACACTTGTTGGAGCATGCTTCTGGGCGGCTACCGGGAGGACCCGCTGCAATTTGCGGCGCCTTAAAGGTCATTGTCTCATCAGAATTCACGGCGAAATTGTGATTTGAAGCATAACTTCAATCAGCGCAGCACTTTGTATTTAACCCCCTTCCCAACATTGTTTCACTTTAATCTGACAATATCTCATTTCCCAATTAACAAAACCATGAAACATTGTGGTTCAGGCTGCCCTTCTCAAGACCCACGGGCACAACGCAATGCTAGGTCGATTGCGCATAGCGCGGCATTATGATGATTTCATGGGGGTGCCAGTGTACTAGACCCAGAATCTGACTAATTTTTATTGTTGTCAGATAAACATTCAGATCCCTTGAGGAGCGCAGCCTTCTGAGAACGACGTGTTTGCGCTGGTGCGTGGCCAGCTTTGTGACACCGAGCTTGCGTACGAGCCCATCCTTTGCTTTCCCATGGCTTTGCAAAGCCACGCGCGAGATTATCTCAACAGAATGATGACGGACTGTGGTGAACACGTCCAGATGGACAACGATCGCAGCCAAAGCTTGCTGAGTCTTGCTGGGGCTTTAGGTCTCTATCCACAGTATGATCGGGCCATTCAATACTATGAGCAATTGGCTGGCTCCAGGCCTCGTTCTTTGCAAGATGCACCGACCTTGCGGTTCTTGGAGGCAGGCCCAACTGCCAGGGCGCGCGTAAATAGGGTGTTGCCAAACAGGCCTGACCCTGCCAGACCGTATCGATTGCAAGTTGTATATGGAAGGGGTCGAGGCGGCCGGCGGTAGAAAAAAGAGTGCTAGACTTACAAGCAGCGGGTGGTGATTGATTGTAGGCTTCTGGCCAGGACCACAACTTAGAAGGTGGCTCTTTGTCATTTTGTGGATTGAGCGGCATACCCCCTTAATTGGGTGGTGCAGGACTGACTGTCTGAACATAGCGCGGCATGCCTAGGAACTATCTTCCCTGTCTGGGAACGCGATGCATGTCAGAGCATGCTGCGCAGCTCTTGGCGCTCTGCTGGTTGATTCTTGGTCTTGAGATTAAGATCATGGGTCTTGCTCTGGCACGTTGTTACTGTAACTGCTTTTCCAAAACTGAGGCCATTCCGACCAGAAGCTTTCGCCAAGACTCAGAGGACACTTCGTCAGAGGCCTCAAAGTTATCCTGCTTTTCAAGTGTTGCCCCTTGCCCGTTGCCAGGCCCCGTCGTCATCATCTTCTTCTTGATGATGCTGGCAGGCTGGACCTGCGAAGCCAAAGCAGCCAGGGGGAAGTTAGCAGCAACATTGCGGATGGTTGTGCAGATTTGGCTCGGACAACTGAGTGCATTTTGATTGCATGTGGACAACGCGATGAAGGCTTGCGCAAAATAAGTAGATCTAAGTCCTCGATGATGATTTGAATCGGGGTAGATCTAAGTCCGCAGTTTGAAGGATTAAATGCCTCAATTCGGCAATATGTTCAGAGTGCTCTGACAGAGCAAGCATCCCGGAGCAATGGCGGAGAACGTCAAGGAGGAGTGTGAGAACTCGCCGCTGAAAAACCAAGCGAAAGACCAAGTGTGGGCTTTGTTTGAATCTGTGCAGCGCCTAGTTGTCAGGGCCACGTCCATGTTGTTGAATTTGAGAGAGTGCTTTCACACAATTTCAATGTGTTTTCAATTCAATGCTGCTTTTGAGGTGACAGAGAATCAGAACCTGGGCCACTGGTTGAATGATGCCATGGCCAGCCGAGCCGTGTTTGCCCAGGCCATCAAACTGACATTCAGCAAAACGTACCTAATGGACACATTGCTGCAAACATATGCCGGCATTGCTGCAAGGTGATCAACACACTGGTGCTCGACAAGGAAGCTCCAGATGGAATTGCCCGAAGTGTCATGACATGTGCGCCCATGACGTCCTTGACCGATGTATGGTTGCAGCTGAACCAGTTTGACTACTCAGCTGATGCCAAAAATGGTCGACCCTTTGGCTGCACTGCTGCGTTATGAGACTAAGTGTGTGTGTGTGTGTGTTTCGACACCAGAGTTGCTTGGAAGTCAGGATTTCCCCACATGGCCACGCTTCGAACCCATTTCAGATCTATTTTGTACGAGGGCTACGACGCAAGCCGGGAAGTCGTGCTGGTGCGGCTGAACGCCCGAAGCGATCGGGTTATTCAAGACTTCAGCATTAGCTTCGTTGATGGATTCAGCAAGTGCTTGATCCTCCAGTCCATAGTTGCCATGATTCACCACTTGGACCTTTGGCCAAATCATTTAGATTCTCTGTGTGCGTTGAAGCCTTACATGCATGGCAATGGGTGAAATCTGGGCTGACATGTAACCGCCCTGTGCCAGGAACTTCACAACTCGGCAGACCTCCAAGAACTGCTGAAATCCTTCAGGTACATCAAGGCTGCTTACCGCCATTATGACAACCCAGCTGAAGCTCACTACGACGCCCTTCGTGCAATGCTCAGCCAAACCCCCTCCAACATTCTGTTGTGTTGTGCTGAATGTTCCCAAGTCAAGGCATTGGCAGCTCTACAGCTGAAAAGCAGGCACCAAGCGCCTTGCAATACCACGCTGAGTTTGGCCGTGCCATTGCCTTGGAGCGCAAGTTCAGTGATGGAGCCAAGAAGAAGACGACCCGTGAGCTGCTCAATAAAAGCATTGCCAGCTTCAACAGGGGAGTGACGGTGAAGAGGTTCCGTGTGGAAGGATCAAAGAAAACCCTCATCTTCAATTTGATTCGGGTCTCGGAAACCTTTCTGAACCTGCTGGCATCTCATTACGACAAGTTTCAACACGCTGTGTCCGGTTCCTTGGAGAGATTTATTGTCATGCATGTGTCCCATCATTATGGTCCTTTTTCTTTTGGCCTGTCAGGGCTTGTCATGCCATGAGCTCCCATAGTGCCCAGGATTCCCATATGACATCTTGGAGAACGACCACTATGTCCCAGGAACAACCTTGTCAGAGGACAACATGCCGAAGAAAGGCTTGTGGGCAGAGATCATGGAAATGACGACTGAGGGGTCAGAGCTCTATGCAGCCCGGGTCATCACACGGTTTGAGGCTTCCTGCACCAAAAACGGGTCTGCGAAGTCTAAGGCCGGACATCTGTCATGTTTGCCGCGAGTAGCGTTGGTTTGCTTGCTGTGCCAAACCCCACTGCTGTTCCCTGGCCAGAAGCTTGCTCAGCTTCCACTGGAAGAACATCGCTTGTGCGCGAAGCTTTGTTGTCTGTGGGTGCACGTGCAGCCGAAGCTTGGCACTGTTGTGACCCATTCAGTGGTGCAACGGCTGGAGCAGAACTTTCAGAGCGGGCTCCTTGGATTTAATTACTTTTTGCTGGAAGCGTCAATGACGAGTAATCATCCAGAAACACTACAGCCAAATTCCCATTTTTTTTGGCTATGGCTTGACTGGTCTGGCACAAAAACCCGTCACACATGAGCCAAAATTCAAACCATTTTGGCCAAGGGGGGGGGTCGCGCCAAATTTGGCACGAATTTGGCTCCAGGGTGACTGGTTTTCCAGAAAACCCGTCAGCCTGTAGCCGAAAATTTTGATTTTTTGGCTGAGAACAAACAAAGGGGTTTGGGTCAGCTGCTCAGTCAGCCATTCAGGGTCCAAATCGTGACTGGTTTTCTGAAAAACCCGTCGCGATTTCTTGGTGCCGGGGGGTGGGCCATGAAGTGTGTGAAGAGGATCGGTAGCATCTTGGGATGACTGGGTGGCCAACAGCCAAGCAAATCGTGACTGGTTTTCTGAAAAACCCGTCGCGATTTCAGCAGAGACAGCTAACTTCCAAATGTGATGGGTTTCTGGGGGGTGGCGCAAAGGGGTTGTCGACTCAAGTGGCCTGAAGGCTCTTGGACAACGACTTGAAGGGCGTGATGCTGGCAGCTGATCCAGACTGGAGCTGGGAGCGTTTGCCGTTCCTCATGGAGGCACGCAGGGGGGAGAAAAGAGCTTTTGCTCTCAGACCTTTTCTTTCTGGATGCACCAGTTGCCAGGCTATGGGGAAGGAGCAATCGCTGTTCATTGAAAGCAGCCAGAACCAGTTGAAGAACGCCCACGCTGCTTCCATGGTGGCCTCTTTCAACCTGTGGAAGGAACAACTGCTCAATGATCAAAGCATTCATGAAGCCAATTTGCTGAAGCCTTTTGGATTCAATATGGTCCTCAACACTTGGCTTGCTGAACGTAACCTGAGCCCGCTCCGGAGCCCAGGCACTGCCACGACACTGCGAAGCGCCGTCAGACCTTGCTGTCAAAGCTCGAAGCTTCTTGGGTGCAACAGAATTTAAAAATTGAACGCCAAGAGAACAATGAGTCAGATTGGCAGTTTTGTGCTTGCGATTGAAAAGCGCGTGGACACTGACTGGCTTAGGATGCTCACAACCGAGCCTGGCAACAAGTGGCCGACTTCCAAGACTCTGCATTCCGAACACTGGTGTGCAAAGTCAGTGATACTGTGATGCCCGAGTTGCTCCCATGGATGAACTCTGCGACAGATGGAATTGGCAGCACCGACACCGTTCCAGCAGTTCTGCCCTTTGGCCAGTCTTGTCCTTATATCTCTTTATGTCTTTCTGTAATTATAATCTGTCATTCCTGTGTGCTTTTTTGCGGAGTATCCATACGAATACGATGGTTGAGACATGGCAGGTGGTGGGCGCTTCCTACTGCAGGTGTCCTATCTTCAGGCAAACTGGAAATGTTATTCAGCCTGACGACAAACTTTTTGTCCGTCTACAAGTCGAATGGGATAGCAGTCCTGGTGCATCCTAATAGATCTGCGCAATTGGAACCTGCTGCGAAGAATCTTAGCTTGTTATTACTGGCTCTGAACAGTCATGTGGATAATTGTGGATTCTCTGTCTGCGTTTCTTGCATGACGCTGCAATCGCGTAACGACTTTTTGCTCTCAGGAAAGACCCGGATGTGAAGGAGGAAGGCGACCAATCTCTTGGGCCAGAGAATGACTGCGATGACGAGCTCTCTGAGGACAATGATGCGGTCCCGACCGAGCAAGCTGGCGTGCGTGAGCTGCGCCACAAAATCGAGTCAACGTTCACTCAGCCCAAGAGACGCTTGCACGTCAAAGAAGTCACCTTCCTGTTTGATGAAAGCAGCGTTTATGGCAACAGGAGTGGGGCCATGAAGGGATTGCTGATCACCAGCAAGGCCACCTCGGGCCAACCGAACATGTTCCACAAGTCAAAGACTTGGAAGAGGCAAATCGTGAGCAACATCGTCATGTGCCCACGAGACGAGATGTGGAAACCTTCCCCCAAGAGCTTGCCGACTATGGCATCCAGCTTCACTGATGTGCAGGAATGCCGCCAGGAGCTTTGATTCATGAATTGGTACACCTGTAAATATTAGGATTTTTGCTTTGTCCTTCAATGTTTGTCAATGAGGGTATGATTGAAGAACTCAAAGAAATGCAACATGGGTCATAATTATACTTCTTGGTGTTGGAATCTGTTTGCAAGGCTTGTGCTGGAACCTCGTTTCCACGCCGTGTTCTGGACTCATTGCTGGCCGATGTCAAGCACAATGGTGTGTTGCTGATAGACGGGCACGGCTACGATTGTTTCCCTGCCTTGGCAGCAATTGAGTCACGGGCTTGTGGGAAGTCTTGGAACTGTGCCACGATCGTTCAGGGGCCTGAAGAGCTGGCAGAACTGTGCTCGAAAAGGATCTCGACCAGCATATACGAATTGGCCAGGACAGGTCAGCTCTCTCTTCCTGCGTGGCCAGCCTTTGATACATTGGTCAGCCAGTTGAGGGAAACCTCTGAGGAACACCACGCTTCCCCAGATGCCTACAAGGTCACCGCCTCTTTGCCTTGCGGTTCCCTGGTGATTTGCGATGCCTTGGTTGCAAAATTCCGAGAGAACCCCAAGCTGCAGCACGAAGTCGAGGCCCTAATTGAGCAACACAATGCCAAGTACAACAAAGAGGGCAAGGAGGTTACTGTGCAAAATGATGATGGGCCAGGGCCTGCTGAGCAAGGGACACATGTCAATCAGGTGGTTCTGCAAGATGAGACTGTGACCATGGAGTATTTGGAGTCACTACCCAAACCGATGTGCTTGCAGGTGACGAATGCCTTCCGCCTGGTGTATGATGAGACGACTGCCAGCCTTTTTGCAGCCGCTGATGATGCTGTGACCCTTCTCTACCGTGAGTTGTTTTCTTTTGGCAGTGGAATTTTCAGCGAGAACCAGATTGCTCGGGAGGCAATGGCGCCCTAGCTTGACTTAGCATGGCCACAATGGAGCGCAATTCGACGGGCAAGACCTTACATCACCCAATGAAAACCGTCCAAGGGACATCCTTAATTTAGTGAATAGGCCATCATTATGATATAATAATAGTCTCGTGTTTGCCACCTATTCACATTTCAAAATGTAAGCACCAAATTTGTGTTTAATGAACTGCAAACCTTGTGCATTTAAGAGCCAAGGCTCAAACTCCAGACGCACTGGCTCCTGGAACGTTGTTAAATTTTATGTGCCAAACTAATTTCAACCATATAGTATATAGTGAATAGGCGCCCCAAGGCCAAGGACCACACAAAACACATTATGTTGGTCCCATTAGTTCATCTTGTGTCCATGAGCCACCAATGTCCCAGCTGAGGATGAAGCTCCAGATGGTGACTGGATCTCATGCGTGGCTGGCCTGGACACGATGATAATTGTGGAACGCAAAGGGCTCATGGGACACCTGTCAAACTTGGGATGCTTGGAGAAACCAACCCGGCTCAGGGATGTGCTCAGACAAATGCAGGATTTGGGAGAGGTCAAGGTTGGCTACAGCCACCATGACGTGGACTTGGGCACAGGCACCATGACTTCGGCAAAGCCTTTGATTTTCACACTGGAGCCCAACAGCTCCCCTGAGAAGAAGCGGAAACTTGATCCCAAGAAGGCCTGCCTTGCAAAGATCCATAAATCTGACATTCCAGCCTGCCTTGCAGGGCTCCAGCTTGACCTTTGGCGCGAAGATGGATCTCAACAAGCTCATGAGTTGCCCTAGCCTTTGCATCGCCTGGAGAGTGAGGACTGGAGTTTTGTGATCAAGGCTAAAAATTGGAACGTGTGAACATGTAGCGCTCGACAATCTGGGTCAAGTTTAATGCTCTAAGCAACAGTAACAGATAACTAATAGGCTGTTTGGTGATTAGTGCGCAACAGCATGCCCAATGCATGGCCATGGCTTGCAGGATTGACACCAACCATGATGACGATGGATGTAAGCAATGTGTGCTGGTGCCTAAGCGCCCATGTGTCCTGCTCAATGGTGTCCTTGAGGTGCCAAAAGGCGCTATGAAGTTGTTCTAGGGTTTGAAGGTGCCAAAGACATCGCATGGTCTTGAAACTACACCACAACACTGCACGACAAGCCATTTGGGGGAAGCCAACTTTGGCACCTTTTAGCTGTTTGCTATGCGTAGCAAACTACTGGGCTATGGGCCATATGGGCCTATGGGGATGGCAGTTTGGTCATGATGACCGCATGCCACATTTCAGTGGGAATGACACCATCGTGGCGGATGAAGACCAAAAGATAAGACCGTGACCACATGTTGATGGCAGCCTGATGCAACACTTAGACTTCACCTTGTGGTTAGCCGTGGGCTTGCAGTTGGAGATACAACTGGTGACCGAAATTGG